GATATCCTAATAGACATTTAAGCACTGCAGGATGTAGTCATAAAAAGGTTTGTGACGATCTTAGCGCTGCAATGACTTGATGGAACAGGTCATGGAGTCTCATGGAACTTTGTAACCACATATCAGTGGTAGAAACTAACATTCTTAGTCCACTAGTCCTTATGATACGTTAACTCTAGGGCACTTTGGTAAGGGCTGTAGGACGAGTGTCTATTTCTATTTCAGAAACGTGACAACCAACAAAGAGAATGTTAGTGCTGCAACCATCAAAGCTCTCATATACATGTTCTTACAAATAGTTCAAGAACAATCACAGTGCAACAACAACTTAAGGGAACTGCGCATGGAATTCCTTTGGAACCCGCTCATTGGAATCTGCAGTTTTACACTACCCTGAGAAGGCAAACACCACCCAAGATATTTTTGAGTGAGTGAGTGAGTGAGTGAGTGAGTGAGTGAGTGAGTGAGTGATGGTTTACGCCGCTTTAAGCAATATTCTGGCAAATATCACGGCAGGGGTAAACCAGAAATGAGCTTCACATGTTGTACCAATTTGGGTAATCGAACCAATGTCTTCGGCGTAACAAGCGAATGCTTTAACCACTAGGCTACCCTGCCGCCCTCCAATATAGTTTCTAAGCCTGATGCATCCAGATACAAGAGTTGAGTTATCAAGGATTCACTGTACATATATTTGATCTTGTACGGTACAAGGATATACGAGGAAGGGTTCGCTACGCTGCCCAGACAGTATTGATTTTCTCACTTACAGTTCCACAATGTAATTTGAGTTTTGACATACACCCAATTGATTGTGACCCAAGGACAAACCTCACTGGCAAATTCTAAGGGTATCTTGTCCTGAAAAAAATGAATGGCTAGGTGTTAATTTTCTTAAGGTTCCTTGCTATGTTTGACATAGTGATGGACCTGATAAGAGACAAATTGGTCACTATTTGTCTCCCGACAGTCATTAAACATTTACTGGGGCTGGAAGAGCTCCAACATCATGACGAGAGCGGTAAATGATACACCATAATAGAGGCAATTTATACCAAACAGCAGTAGTAATGAAGCATTGGTAGAATGAGAACTAATAACATGCTGACACATTTTGACTTATTTTCAACAATCCTGAGTTGCAGTAGAATTTCAAAAGGTACTTTTCTGAAATCAATAATTGAGCCAGTTGATGTTTTTATTCTGTATATTCTCAAATATTGGTCAAAGTGGTCACCTACAGCCTTGGTCAAGTATGTGTATGATTGTATATGGTCATGTCATGTTTTATTGTGACCTGTTAATATATAGTCATATGCCCTGTTTACTGGTGACCTGGTGATATAAGGTCATGCCCTGTCTACTAGTGACCTGGTGATATAATTATGGTTATGCCCTGTTTACTGGTGACCTGGTGATATATGCTGACACCCTGTTTACTGGTGACCTAGTGATATATGGTTACACCCTGGTGACCTGGTGATATAAGGTCATGGCCTGTTTACTAGTGAGCTGGGCCCACTTGCACAAAGCGATCTTAGCGCTAAGACTATTGTAAGCCTATGTTAAAGTAAGGGCGTTACGATCATCTTAGCGCTAAGATCGCATTGTGCAAGTGGGACCTGGTGATATAGGGTCATGCCCTGTTTACTGGTGACCTGGTGATATAAGGTCATGCCCTGTTTACTGGTGACCTGGTGATATAAGGTCATGCCCTGTTTACTGGTAACCTGGTGATATAAGGTCATGTCCTGTTTACTGCTGCCCTGATGCTCTATATGGTCATGCCCTGACATTCTTAACTTCAAACACTGTAGTCACATATAGAGATATTTCTGACATATCTCAACCTAATCAACAATCTCATCAACCGACCCTATGTGAATATATAATAAACAGTTCATGATCATCGTATGGCCAACTTCAAGGGCAATGTGCCATAAACCTATAGGCCTCCATGTGAGTTGAGCCACTAATACAGCCAGTTATCATTGTCATAAAAAGAAACGTTGTTAGGATAAGGACGAATGTGCCTATAAAGTCTGATGAAGACGTTTCCCATAACATGATAGAAACTATAACTCAACATTTACAGGAAGGGCTCTATTACTGGGTATCATTTTTGTGCACAACACAGGCTCCATGAGGTTCTTATCACAAAAACAATACAGTAAATAATCTTCTATTGACCAGCCTGGCAGGTCATGTAGGCGCACTGCTACTTTAATATCTATAAACTATTCTGGTGCGAGGCAAGGGGATCCTCATCCTGCGATATAAAGGATTTATTGATGCAGCAAAGGAAGGGCTGCCTAGCAACAGTTAAATAGAAAATACATCAAATTCTACATCTAATCTATCACTGCAATAGAATGTAGTCACTACCATCATGATGGATATTGTGAGACAGGGAATAACTCCTTTATACACCCAGCAGGAAGGATTTATGACATGGCGCATGCAATCTATTGTTTCATCACTATTCTAAATCCTTTTTATTTTCAGCTCATTCCAAAATATGCCCTGTTTATCGTTTCTCTTGTTTTTGTATTGGTAAGCTACAATAATGTTGAACAATTAATTAATTCAGAACGATACTTCATCAGACTGTTGCAAAAACGTTTTGAGTCAACAAGCCTGAAACTGTCCTTTGGCATCATTTGAGGTAGAATTCAGTATTTATATATACTAACAAGAGTCCCATAGGGCCTGTACACTCACCTGGATATTTACGCAATCATGCCAAAATATACATCTGCATTGTAGTATGATGCATATAATACTGCAAAAATATTTCGTAATTTTGACTCTGTCAGCATTTAAAATGGGTGGATGGCAAATCTGACAAATCTGAATGTGTACTTCTCTAGATACAAATGTAGCATAAAAGAGACTGAACCGTTTCCATGTTATGATCTAGGATGTGAGTGAGTGAGTGAGTATGTTTTTACGCCGCTTTTAGCAATATTCCAGCAATATCACGTCGGGGGACACCAGAAATAGGCTTCACACATTGTACCCATGTCGGGAATCGAACCCGGGTCTTCGGCGTAACGAGCGAACACTTTAACCACTAGGCTACCCGACCGCCCCTGATCCAGGATGTAAGTTTCCAGAGGCAAGGCTGGACCCCAGGGTGAATCCTATTGGCATTAATGTATTATTTTCTTCATAACAAACAAGTGTATACAATGTATCTGTTTATTATAGGGTGGGGATAATATTGGTTTGCATGTTATGGTCAAGGTTCTAACTTCTTTTGGGAGTGCCGGACAGATGGAGAGAAGGGCCAGTCCTGGAAGCCTATGTGCACTCCTCTCATTATACCCAGCAATTGTACATATGGTTATACGGTAGGAATCCTAACCATCACCCAGTGAGCTAATAATAAGTGCATTTATAATGCACCAGATTCCATTCACCAAGTGAATGCTCATAGCGCTACACTATTATTACCCCGGTCAATGGATCAATGAGTACTCGATTTTCATTCTCAGCTCCCTGGGGAGTATACAACCCAAAGCTGCCTGTATGGTGCTAGAAGGTTAACAGCAACATTACCATCTCATCCTACCGGGTACCCACTCACTGCTGGGTGAACAGAGGCACATTTCAAACAAAGTCACTTGCCTAAGGAGACACCACATGTGGTACATGTGCTTCAGTGTGGGGCAGGACCGAAGCCCTAGAAGCTCTCAGGAGTCAAGCTGCTTAACGTGGTCACCCATCCAACTACTCTCCGAGACCGACATTGCTTAACTTCACCTGATTTGTGACCTGTGCACTGTGTACATGGATGATTATTATCCGAGCTTACAACAGAAGCTCCTGGAACTAGCTGCATTGTACACCATGTATTTCTGTGAACATAACCTTTAACTAAGATATCTCAAGTGGCATTAAAGAAACTGTAATACCAGGGGTCGATATAACTGCTGGCCCATTGGCCTGTGGCCAGTTAAAATTACAAAGGGCTTCCTAAACGAAAAGTAGATTGCTCATCCGGCAAGTCAAAATTTCACCACTCCTCCATGTATGTTTAATTTTTTAATTGGATCATCTTGGTAGAATGACAACCGGATGCCATTTTATAATGTTGTGTACAACAACTTCTATATTTGCATGAAATGAGGCAAATGTAAGCCAAGAATTAATCTCAGAGTGCAGGAAAAAATGTTTTAGGGGAGAGGAGATCTAAAATTTTCAGAGCCCTTCTCGGTGGCTATGACCATAAATATTTACGAGCCATTTCAAAAGAAAAGCTAGCTGTAGACACATGCTCGTTGCAGCTATTTTTAGTAGTGAACTTAATTACTACGCATTTTGCGATTTTTGATTGACAAAAACGCTGGGGGAGGTCATTAGGGTGTTTCCTGGTATTTTTCTCATGATACTGAGCAGGCAGCCACTGTTATCGGGAAATGGGTGTTAATAATTATAGATAATATTCAAAATTGTTTTTAAAATAATTTTCCGATTGCATAAGCAATGAAAATCAAAAAGAAATAGGTAAGTGGATATTATAAAATTTATTACCAAAAATTTTCAAATATTCGCTTCCATGATGCTTAATCTGGACGTTATAAATGTGTTAGCTTACATGTTTTATTTAAAATGAACTTAATAAAGTTGTAAATGCACTATTTAAATAATGTGATAAACATAGCTTTTATACTCATAAACAGTAGAAACAGACCTTTCAAATGGTATATAATATGTAGTAGAAAGATGTTTTACAAGCAGATCATTTATCAAAATATGCACCTCTTCTATAAGTATGGAAACTGTTCCCTAAATTTGAAAAGCAAAAATTCATATAGTAGTTTTCAAGTTGCACACAGAACTGTCTTTGGAAGGTTGGGCGGCAGGACGGACTGAATTTCTTGGCATAACAATGTACCCCTGCCCTATTAGGTTGGGCAAGGAAGACTCCATGAGACTGCAATGCAAGATCTGCAAGGTCTTTGTTTGATTTGTTTACTTATGAAACAACATCTCACCTTGAGCATCAAAGAACTCATCTTCATCTGAGCTAGACTCCTGGAGCTGTTCCAGACTCTCAAACCTCCACTCCGACACATCTCGACTTGAGCCTACGGGGAAATAAAAAAACATGTCATGATGATATAATTAAATGGTTATCTGTTATTTCATAACATAGATCTAAATGACAATTTGAAAACTTGAAAATGAAGAACTGGTGCCCGTTTGTTTTCATCACTTATTCTCATGACAAAGCTATCACAATGACACTGACTGAGTATCAGACATGTGTCAAACTCACTTGCATGGCGACACAAATACTACACCACTATATCAGTCTGTGACTTCAGCCACTAGTTTAACAAAACACTCAACAATATTCCAGCTGTATGATGGTAGCCTATAAATAATAGGGTCCGAACCAGACAATTCAGTGATCAATGATTGGAGCAACGATCCTCCACCGCTGAGACACGATGACACGTAATCAACCAAGTCACCAAGCCTGACCACTAGATCCATTTGGATCTTACGACCAATACAGGAGGCCAGTTCTAACCCAGAATCCCCCAAAGGGACATAGGCTGATATGAGGATTGAGTGGTCACAATGTGTGACCGGGCTGATTGTATGTCATTGTGCCATTGTTGACTGTTCAACCAATACCTTGCTGACCACAGCTTCTCTCCTTTCAAAAATGTTTTTATTCAGTTTCAGGGGAGTAATGTGCAATGACCTATAACAATGTATGCTTTCAACATGATGCTTGACAGGATGCCTGAACCAGACTTATTTAAATACTGGCTGTTGCTAGCTGCATCCTAAAACAACATGATGATGATGATGATGATGATGATGATGATGATGATGACGGCAATATACAGATTCTGCTGATGATGGGAGGTCTACTTTCGGAAGACATTTGGATGAACAAACAGCAAGATTAGATTCCAAGGCGATTTCACATCTAACAAGCAGGGTCACCTGTCCTTGTGATTTAATGAGATCCTTGTTGCCATGGCAAAGGAAAAAACAAAGGACTTGAAAAGCCAAATGCGTTCTAAGATGGTGTTGTTCCGACAGGCATGTGACTTAGCCATGTCAGTCACACAAGCTAGCATCTGGTGGGGAGAGGACATGCGATTGACTCAAGCCTCTTGAGAGTTTCAGTCATGTGCCTTGCAAAGGTCTTGGACCAATTAAAATTTGAATTTGCTACAATGCACAGCTTTGTGGATTTGAGAACCATATTTTTCAGAAATACATTATCCTAGCAGCTTGTATAACAAGGTGCTATTTTGAAACTGGAACATCATCCCATGCACAGTCAACCCTCACATTGTTGTTTGGTGTTTAACGACCCCACACAGCAATTTTCCAGCTATATGACGGCTGCCTGTAAATAATCAAGTCTGGACCAGACAATCCAGTGATTGATATCATGGACAATGATCCAGGGCCCCATCTTAGCGCTAAGGTTTTCATAACTCCCATACTTAAACACTGGCTTACGATAGTCCTAGCGCTAAGATCACTTTGTGGAACTGGGCCCTGGCCTTCAGGTAAAAACAACATGCAATCAACCAAGTCAGCGAGTCTGACCACTTAGTAAGTTCCACTAAGTCGCCTATAATGACCATCATATGTTTCTAAACAATTCTATCCCAGCATTCCAATAGGTATAAACAGTTGTAGATCAACAGCTTGTTTGTGTGCAGTTTTTTGTCACAGTGACCTGTAAATAATTGTCACGGAAAACCGGTGGCTGATTGCATGGTACTAGCTTCACGCCATTGGGGAATAACGAGACCACTGTATCTTCCAAGCAGGACCGGACCGCCTAGTGGTAGAGCAATCACCTGGAGAGCCGAAGGTCAGGTGTTCGATCCCCGGCCGCATCATACCAAAAGATGTTAAAAGATGGTACTTGTTGATACCCTGTCTGGCGCTCGGCATCAAGGGGCTAAAACAAGGACTGGTCGGCTTGGAGTCAGTATACTGTGTCTGAGTGGGGTGTTCATGTTAAACTGCTGCATGGTATCTTAGTGGGTCAGCGCTACAAATCGGCATCAGTCCTGACTAGTACAAGCCCGCCCACCCGCCCGCCTGTTACTTGGGTCAAGTTTTACCCCAGAATCCACTCCGGAGAATCCCTACATGTTAACATGAGTCAGTCACTAAAACATTAAAATCTGCCAAACCAATTATCTTTGTCACTTTTCCTGGTAATCTGACAATAATTTTCATAAATGGGTACAAAAACAGAAGGATACTCGTACTGACATATATCAGGCTGTGCCAAACACTTTTGAGTCTGAAAATGTACTTTGGTATTATTTCCAGTATAAAAAAGTCTTAGTTTATGAATTAGTAAGATGTGATCTCACAAGACCAGAAGACATTATACTAGACTCTGGTTCTAATGATTCTATCATGACTTTACCTGCCCCAGACCCAAAGTCCCTGGTACAAAATTCTCTGCTCTCACTCAGAAACAACTCACTAAATGGGCTATAATCCCATTTAGTCGCATCCGAAGCTCAAGATCTTAACAAGTATTTGTCACAGAGTGACGAAATATCCCCCGCCTGTACACCATACTACCAAATATGAAGACAATCCAGCGATTAGTTCTTGAGATATTGTGGCAACACCGTTTTCCAATTCCAAAAACAGATTTGCCTGCTGTGACCTTGAAAATGGGGTCAAGGTCACCAAATCTGACAGGTGTATGCGGTGTCTGTATATACACTATAGTTCCAAATATGAAGACAATCCAGCGATTAGTTCTTGAGATATCGCGGCAACACCGTTTTCTAACTCCAAAAGCAGATTTGCCTGCTGTGACCTTGACAATGGGGTCAAGGTCACCAAAACCGACTGGTGTCTGCGGTGTCTGTATATACACCATAGTTCCAAATATGAAGACAATCCAGTGTTTAGTTCTTGAGATATCGCGGCAACACCGTTTTCCAACTCCAAAAGCAGATTTGCCTGCTGTGACCTTTAAAATGGGATCAAGGTCACCAAAACCGACTGGTGTCTGCGGAGTCTGTATATACACCATAGTTCCAAATATGAAGACAATCCAGTGTTTAGTTCTTGAGATATCGCGGCAACACCGTTTTCCAACTCTAAAAGCAGATTTGTCTGCTGTGACCTTGAAAATGGGATCAAGGTCACCAAAACCGACTGGTGTCTGCGGAGTCTGTATATACACCATAGTTCCAAATATGAAGACAATCCAGTGTTTAGTTCTTGAGATATCGCGGCAACACCGTTTTCCAACTCCAAAAGCAGATTTGTCTGCTGTGACCTTGAAAATGGGATCAAGGTCACCAAAACCGACTGGTGTCTGCGGAGTCTGTATATACACCATAGTTCCAAATATGAACACAATCCAGTGTTTAGTTCTTGAGATATCGCGGCAACAAACAGGTGGGACGTACGGACGGACGTACGGACGGACGGACGGACGTATGGACGGACGTACGGACGGTCGTGAATACTATATCCCCCGCTTCGCGCTTTCGCGCGGCGGGGGATAATAAGAGGGCAATAATCAACTTAGTCGCATTTGAAGATCAAGATCTTAATAAGTGGACAATAATCACCTTAGTCACATCTGAAGATCACGATCTTAATAAGTGGACAATAACCACCTTAGTCGGATCTAAAGATGATAAGATCATAATAAGTGGCAATAATCACGTAAGTTGCATCTCAAGCTTAGGATCTTAATAAGTGGGTTATAATCACCTTAGTCACTTCTGAAGCTCAAGATCTTAATAAGTGGGCTATAATCACTTTAGTCACTTCTGAAGCTCAAGATCTTAATAAGTGGACAATAATCACCTTAGTCACTTCTGAAGCTCAAGATCTTAATAAGGGGGCTATAATCACCTTAGTCACTTCTGAAGCTCAAGATCTTAATAAGAGGGTTATAATCACCTTAGTCACTTCTGAAGCTCAAGATCTTAATAAGAGGGCTATAATCACCTTAGTCACTTCTGAAGCTCAAGATTTTAGTAAGTTGGCTATAATCACCTTAGTTGCATCTGAAGCTCAAGATCTTAATAAGTGGACAATAATCACCTTAGACACATCTGAAGATGACAAGATCATAATAATTGGCTATAATCACATAAGTTGCATCTCAAGCTTAGGATCTTAATAAGAGGGCTATAATCACATCAGTCACTTCTGAAGCTTAGGATCTTAATAAGTGGGCTATAATCACCTCAGTCACTTCTGAAGCTTAGGATCTTAATAAGTGGGCTATAATCACCTCAGTCATTTCTGAAGCTTGGGATCTTAATAAGAGGGCTATAATCACATCAGTCACTTCTGAAGCTTAGGATCTTAATAAGTGGGCTATAATCACCTCAGTCACTTCTGAAGCTTAGGATCTTAATAAGTGGGCTATAATCACATCAGTCACTTCTGAAGCTTAGGATCTTAATAAGTGGGCTATAATCACCTCAGTCATTTCTGAAGCTTGGGATCTTAATAAGAGGGCTATAATCACCTCAGTCACTTCTGAAGCTTAGGATCTTAATAAGAGGGCTTTACTAATCTCATATTCAAGCTATAAGAGAGCAAAATGTAAACAAAATCAGTTTGGACCAGACAATCCAGTGATCGACATTATGAGCATCAATGTAAGCAATTCAGGCAAACGATGACATGCATCAACCAAGTCAGTAAGCCTGACCACCTGATCCAATTAGTCACCTTCTGACCCAGATCTTTACAGGGCTGAGGATGATAATCCGGGATTTGAAATACAAAATCACCGGATTCTGCCATGGTTTATACCACTAACCGTATGAGGATCCTATTTTCCCGAGACAGTCATGAATACAGACAGTTCTCTAGTCAACATACGTCAACTTATGTAAGCAGAACACATGTTTCTCATATCTTAGCGTGGCCACTAAAACTCCCAGGTTATGTTGTTCTCATCATAATCAGTATCCTCATAGGGGCGGTCGGGTAGCCTAGTTGCTAATGCGTTCGCTCGTCACGCCGAAGACCCAGGTTTGATTCCCGACATGATTACAATGTGTGAAACCCATTTCTGGTGTCCCCCGCCATGATATTGCTGGAA